GGGGGGGGGGGGAAAAAAACCCCCAGTACATTTTATAATTCTTCAGATTCTCGGGCCTCGACTCTCTTACTAATTGGGGCTGTGCTGCAGTTTTCTCTTAGCAAATCACACTCCTAAAATGACTTATCTAAATATCACATTACACCCTGGGAGTGCTGTGGCAGGCCAAGGAGTTATAACTACCCCACAGCAACTCCTGGCTTTGTCCCCTCCTGACTGCTGCTTGGGGAGGAGACGGTTGTTCTTGGGCACATTCTCGTCGCACTAATTCTTGGTGCTGTATCACGAACCAGCAGCCACTGCTGGTAGCAATAATTCAGGGTAGTCTTGAAGCTTTTCTAATGAATGCCAGAGGACTATAAAAGCTAGCAGTGGTCTGGTGGTTGATATCCTCATTTAGGTTTGCTACTGTGGATGAAACCAGCCATCCACTTGCCCCAGCATCCTGGAAGGTAAAGGAAATCATAGTCAGCAGCAAGGTATACCCTGGGAGAGGGAGTATTTCTCATTAGCTGCCTGTAGCTAGATGTCAGTATATGTCTCAAAGCTTGGAGGTGTATTAATTGCTAGAAGTCCTGGGTCTTATTTGTATTTCCAGCAATATAAAGGTCTGTTTTGAAGATTCTTGTTACATCCCATGTAGTGCAAATGGCCTTTGCATATTTGAGGAGTCACCTGCCATCTTAAAGCCTTGTATTACTAACTCTGTATGAATCTCTCAGAAATATCAAGATCGTGGTTCTTTAGGCGTGATTTGTAAGTGACCAAGGCACTCACAATAAATCAACTCACGAATCTCTGTGACACGGAGGCAGAGTTCTTAAACTACTGTTAGAAAAAATGGTCATGTACGCTTCTAGCGCAGCTCTCCTAGCCTTCCTGAGAACCAGGCCTGCAGGCACAGAGCAGTCTGAGGTGGATCTAGGGCTTGGCAAAACTCCTTCTGCTCCTTTTGTCAGTCAAATATTAGGGACTGGCGGCACACTTGACTTGCAGACTTTTGCACTGGACTTTCAAAAATGTGAGTGCATTGAAGACCGCATAACCAGTTGCACAAGTGTTTATCCTAGCAGCGTGGCTGGTGATGCTGCTTTCTATGCCTTTGAGTTTCATCACTGGCATTTCTGATGTCTAATCAGGGAGGCATGTTGATCAAAACTACTCTTAGGTTTGAGACGTTTGTAACATCCCTTGTTCACTGTGTTTCTTAAGTGCCCGGTAAGATATGAGCTTACATCCTCCATCTGCAGAGTCACTCGGCATCTCCCTGCTGCCAGATGTGCAATGTGCTGGAGCTTAAAACTATGAAGAGCTCCACCTGTCAGTCAAACCTAGCTACCATTGGCCAATAGCACGTGTGTGTCCAGAGCATTCCCTCATAAGCTTTGTCTCCTCCGGAAAGTAAACTAAAACAAAATTTTGTAATGCAAGAGGGAGCTGGCAGCTAAATGTTGCTCCCTTTTGTTTGCCAGGGCAGCTTTATCTTGAAATAAAGCGCTGGTGAATAGAAATGATGAAACAGTGCCTAATAAATAATGAGTATATTGTTTACCTTTTGCTTTCTGCTGATAAGTGTAAGTAATGGCAAATTTAGAAGGTTCTGTTTGCAGATAACAGCACCGATATGTTCTAGTCAACTTTGCTTCTTTGTTCAAGATACTACACTAGTTGAATCACAGGCTGGTGAACCATTCTGGGCATGCAAGGCATGCAGAAACAGTGCCCTCAGCAAAGTCATCTCCACACTCTGAGTTGAGGTAATTTGTAGCTGAGAAAAACCTGACAGTTTAGACTCTACTGCTTCAGGAAATAAGCGTGGTTGGATGCTAGTGTATTTTTGGCTCTGGTATCTGGATTTCTGTGGAGTTATGTCACTTTGCAGAGCGAAGTCCAGAATATGGCTGATTTACCTTTAGAGTAGTGTGTAACTTCTGCAGTGTCAAGCAGAGAAGCTACGTTGTGCTTCGTATTGTTGAGCTCTTCCTAATTTACTGACAAAAGTCTTGCTAGATAAACCATTAGGCTGAGGTTTCCAAAGGACTTTGGAGTTAAATATCCCACTCCCATTGTTCTGTTTTTCCAAAGGTACAAAGAGAAATTAATCACAAATGTACAGTACTTGTTTGGCAGCGGTAATCTCCTGGATTGCAGAGGGGGAGGGAGGTCTCAGTTATTCCAGTTCTCTATCATTACTGATTTTTTTTTTTTTCCTACTTTTAGAATCGCCTGGCTACCCTGGTGTGACAAAGTTAGAAATCTTGCTGTACTCTGGGCACCGCTCCTTAGGAGGTACACAAACAAATAGCAAAGAAAATCACGTGGCCATGTCCATGCCATGTTGAGAGGTGGCATGCCAGGTGATGGAGAGTGGAACTTAGCTCTGAGAGAGCTCGTGGAGGAGGAGATCTTGGAGTCAGGTATTAAGTGAAGGACTGGGCTGGAGAGGAGAAAATGCTACAGCAACTGAAATCTTTGAACGTGGTGCTTCATGGAGCTAAATGAGCTGTTGCCTTTAGAAAAAGTGCTTGGGGTGGGGAGGGGGGGCAGTACAGTTACACCTTGACAGTGTGTAAGGCAAGTCTCAGTTAATCCTTTCTTCCAGCCATTACCAGGCTACAAAGGACAGGAGTTCTTTTCTCCCCAGCAGTAGGAAAGCTGTTCAAAATCAGACCTTCATTGTTTGTGGGAGATGGGGAGGCCTGTCCAAACACTACACTACAAGCATTACTAACCTTTACAAGAAAATAGCCTTTTTTTTTTCCTCCTCTTTTGCTGCTTCTGCTTCTTCTGGCTTTCCTCAAAGCTTTGTCTTAAGAGATTTCTTAACAACAGTTCTCTGAAAGGCTTTTCCGTTTCACTGATGGAAGGTACAAGCAGTCCACCGTACAGTCTTTGTTAATTGGATTTACCTTTACCTTAGGGAATATAGCATACCTCAGTATGGCATCTGCACTGAAAACAGATCCGTCTAGTTGTCTACCACTGTCTGATATATCAACTCGGGAAATAATCTGATTGTAACTGTATAGGTGTAGTTAGTTCTTGTGTTCCCCCACATTCTAGCATGTTTTGTAGATGTGTCTGAGTGGTTTTGATCCCACAGCAGCCCAGAATTGAAATACCACAAACATGGTCTAGTACTGCGACAGGTGCACTTTCATCTCTCAAAAAACCACAAACTCAGTTAGGCAACTTGTGTGAGACTTTTGGCTGACAGAAGACACTGTATGCTGACATAAAAGTTGCCACTGAGATCTCCTCTCACTGGTAGGCTCAAAGACATGGTGGAATTTGCTCCTTCAGGATGCATGCAAGGCCACTGCATGGCAAAAGCTGTGTTTCAGCATCTTAGACTGTTTGGCTCAGCCAGGTTGGCTACTGTGTACTGGTGTTTCCTCTTGACCCCTGCTGCCTGGAATGTACCTTTTCTTGCCCTTCCCTTCTCAAAAATCAGACTTCTTCCCCTGCACTTGTTGCTCTCAGTAACAAGAGGTCTTGAAAGATGTTAGAGCTCTGAGATATTCTGGGAGGCTTTCACCCTCGTGAACATGAAGTTCGTGTGGAAGTGTTATGAGAGTTGCATGAGTGGTTTGAACATGTCTGCTTAGCTTTGTGGTACAAACTAAAGCTACCTGAGCAGTAGGAGGGAGCTAATTCAAAAGGCAGAAATTGCAATTAAGCATACAGATTTGCTGACTTCCAATGGGACTCAGATACTCCAGTGCCTCGTACGCTTTCAGAAAAATTGATCTTTAATAAAGCAATAATGTTATCTCAACAGAGAGTAAGCTAGGGCTTTGTAATCATATGGAGCTTTGACATTGTCTTCTGAATAGGCTAAGGCTCAGTTGAGGGCAGATTATCCACAGTAAATTACTTTGATCACTGTCTCTATTTTTTGGTCTTAATCCTAACTTGATACCTTAGGCTAGACAGACAAAACTGTCCTATTGTAAATAATTGTCTTTTTTTTTTTTTCCACCCTTGAAAGGAGTTTTAGTCTTTGCTGATGTGATTTCTAGGAGGTAGGCTTCTGTTCTTTCTTTCTTCCAAACCACGGTATTTTTCACAGTTCCAATTTTTCTTCAGCTACTTATTGTTCCCTTGAAGGAAAGGAAGAATCAGGCCTAAATGATCTGCTTGTTTTTTTTTTTTTTTAATGTTTGATGAGGCAGATGTGCTGGGACAGAACCGAGCATTCCGATCTGTTACCTTTTACGCAACTGAGATAGATTAATTACAGGGCTTTCCCTTGACATCCAGATTCTTGCCTGAAAATGTTCCCATAAAAGATGAATGACAATGAGATTCTCATTATAGCTTGATAAATTATCCTTTTCACTTAGAATTACAGCAGTCTACTTCATGGTCAGCAAGCTTGTTTAGGCCTAGCCCTTTCTTTCTCTCTTTGAGTTCAGATCAAGCGTTTGTTGACAAGTTACTTCTGTTGTTGCAATCCATAATTTTGCGTTGCCCCGTTAGAATTTTCCATTTTTCTGAAAAAATGGGACACTGCTTTCAGCCAGGAAGAATGTTATTCAGCAACAGCATCTTCCCCATTTTCTTCAGTATGGCACACTGCAAAAGTAAGATTGACTTGGGTGGAAACAAAAGTCACACTTTGTATAAAACAAAGAAAAAAAGACCAAAATTCTACCCAGCTCACATCACATCAAATATATAGCCAAAAATCAGAAAGAGTCAAAATTTGTGACTTGACAGTTTTCATGAATGAAAGGAAGTTATCTAAAGATAGTATTCAGTTCTCATAAAAATAATTAAAAATTTTTAATCCTTACACAAAATTCCAAATTCCAAAAGTGAGTTTTCGTCCTAATTTGCAGGGGAAACACTGTTAGAAATAATTTCCATGTTCTGTTCGACTGTTTTACTAGGTGGAAATACTAGTTTTGGCCAGTTCTATTAGTCTCCCTTGATGAGAAAGTCAGCGTGGTGTAATAAAGTGAAGATCATGATCCTGGGTTTTCATTGCCTTTCAGGTACTGGGATTGTTCATGTCAGTCTGAGCGTCTCTGCATGTGAGGTAAGCCTAGGAACTTTCTTCTGCTACGCAGGCTGTCCGGAGGAGTCAGTGTTACAGCTTAGTATTTGTGGCATTACCTCTGCAATCTTGGATATAATCCTCTGAATTAAGGTAAGCCAAGCTGTCCGTCTGCCAAGACTGAGCGTCTCAGTAGACAAAAGAGGCAAGACACGGTGGGAGGGGAGATGGCACAAAAGTCCTTCAGGTCAGTGGCAGGCCAAAAGGCAGAGCTTTGAGATATCCGATGATGCATTCATTTTACTGGCTTGTGCTCTCTGCTAGTGTCAGTCTCTGTGCCGTGTCTGTTAACTCCACCTCTGATGGAACTGGGGGTTTAGAAAGCTGGAAGACTGATGAGGTTTTAAGTATTACCAACATAAAGACAGACATTCTGAAGTCCTGCTCATTTTTAATGCAGGATCTCTCTCTTGCCGTCTCAATTTATGCTTGGGAGACACCCTTCACAGGTTTCAGGAACTGAAGTCTGTGTTATCCTTCATTCCTTTGTTCCTGCAGAAAGAATTGTGTTTTTACTCTAGTGCTTTTTATTATTGTTATTTTTGTAGCAAAAGCTTAAGATATATTTAATTTAGCAGGAGTGGATGTTGTAATACAAAAGCTAGAAGGGAATAAAGACAATTATCCTTCGGTAAAGCAAAGTGCAGTAACAACTGTTGCTAGCATTCCTTCAGGTTTTCCTAATGGAGAAGAGGGGAGGAGTTTTCTAATTGGGTGGTCCTCACGTTAAGAGGAAGCACAAATCCTATCTATCCCTTTAAGGCTTTCAGAGCTGTAATTTAGTTGCAATACATGACGCATCATGAAGCTTTCCTCCTCAAATGAGTATAGAGTAAAGCAGTAGGATTTCATGGGCAGGAAGGTTGTGTATGCGCTTTGTATGTGTAACAGGTGTGCTGAGATAGTATTACTTAGCTGTCTAGTCTGCTCCTGGAGAGGGTTTATGACTGCAGATTCCTTAGTGTAATTGTTTGCTTCTCTAAAATAACCGAGCACATAGGTCTGTAGTGTGAAAACGAATAGGCCTAAAATTGTGCTCTGGGCAATTCAGTAAGTGCTGATGGATTTTTCACAAGACACATTTGAAACTTAGACAAATTAAATTAACTTCTTAAGTCTGCACAACTGGACTACAGATTTCCCATGGATTTCCAGTGTAATCGCATCTGCCTATAATCACAGAATCGTTTAGGTTGGAAGGGACCTCTGGAGATCATCTAGTCCAACCTCCCTGCTCAAGCAGGGTCACCTAGAGCATATTGCCCAGGATCACATCCAGACGGGTTTTGAATATCTCCAGCGAAGGAGACTCCAC